ACCAAACTATTGGGTAGCTTGTTAAGAGCTCAGGAGAGAACGGTGGTACAGGCCCTGGTCAAAGGTGAGGGGGAGGGGTCTGAGGAGGAGCAGGCCTCTCATGGATCTATATAGCTGTGGAAAAGCAACCCCAACTTGGGCTCTGACTCTCAACTTGGGGCCTTTGCAGCTGGCTGTTTTTGTCCCATCTGAGGCCAGTTTCCTAGACAGGACAAGACAAACTGGTCAAGGAAGAAGGCTGGAACCTTTCCTTCAATAAACAGGCTGATTGTTCTAGTCAAGAAACGTACCCTCTTGGCTGCCAGATGTGGATCAAAGGCAAACCAGACATTTTTCTTTATCTTTCTTTCTTTGTGCCTCACCCAACTTTCTCCTTCCATCACTACTTCCCCCCCAAAAACAAAAGCCAACTCCCATCCTCCCTCCCCACCCCCACCTGCTATGGTGGGGAGGGAAAGAACTGTCCAAAACTACAAGGCCCTTCTCCTGGAAGAGAGAGTAGTCAGGTGCAGAGTGTGTGGGGAACTCGGCCTCTAGCCTGCCACGCTGATGACTCAGAAGCTAAATATAGCGAGCGATATAAACAGAGCCAGCCACAGAGCAAACACAGGGCCCCCAGCCCCAGCCCTGGCTCTCACGCACACCACACTCCACAGCCCCTCCCCCAGCCTCACTCTTCCCTGGCAGTGTCCTAGGTGGACCGCCCACTCCTGGGACAGAGGCTGGCTCCCTAGGGACCCTTCACACTCTATGGCAAATCTCTGGGGCTCCTGTCCAGGGTTGCCCCATCTAGAGCCTGAGCAACCTTAATAGCCACAGTCTGAGCTCCAGAAAACCACTCACCAAGGAAAGCATCCCAAAGTGTCAGGAAGCAGTCAGAGGCTCCCTGAACAAGAAAAGATCCAGGCTGCTGTGCAGAGAAGCTGCTAGTTAATAAACTATGCGAACACCAACTTGGGTACAACTTCCAAAAGAGCTCCCCAAGAACTGTAAAGCCAGATCCAAGAGAAATCCTAAAGTCATCTTTTGACACACTTCCAAAAGCATCCAACTGTCCATACATTAATAGTTATTTATATTGCAATTCCCAAAGGCCTTTCACATCAACTCTGCAAGGCAAGTATTAGAAACTGATTCTTGGAGAGGTTAAATGATTTGCCGATGAACATAAAACTGGTAAGTGGCAAAGTTGGGATTTTAACCCATATCTGCTTGCAAGTCCAAGATCCCTTCTATGATATAACAACTAAAGATGATTTCAACTGAGTGACTGAAAGTTTTCTCAGATTTCATTTTCTACAAAGTCTAGTTCCTATACAGGGAATTCCCAAACCCAATTTTTCTGAATGGAGCTGCCCCTGCTCCAAGTGAAAAAGCCATTTCCAAAATGAAGAATTCTAACCCTCTTGTATTTTACTCGCTTGACAGTCAACAGTAGCTACTTTTTTGATGAGTCTTGGCTTCTTAACGTTGCCAAGAAATACACCCACAATTTCAAGATGGATCATTGGGACAGGCGACTTTCCCAAGGGGAGAAGATAGCAGATACTGCCCCTCCTCAGGCCCATGTTGGAGAAGACCACGGCATGGAGAATGAATGGAAATTGAGACTCAGACCTTCTGGCCACGGCAGCCCATGAGCTCAGATAGGAAGTGAATCTGCTCCTCCTTCTTCCATGCAGAAGCTGATGGACATGGAAACACCACAACACCGCCCTTGTAGAGCCCAAGTCAAGGTAAGTCACTGTCAGCAGACCAACAGGGTCCCTGCTGCAGCTTGTCAGCTCACAGAGCAGCAAAGAGGGGAACCTTCCACTCCCGACCCAGCCAAAGGAAGGTGGGATGCAAGGCGAAGTTTGGAAAGGCTTTTACTTCCACTAACTCTGCCTCTTATTCTCCCCAAAGAGCCGACAGTGAGCACCCCGCTGACTGATTTTCTGCTTCCAGTTTCTTGTCTGTGGGTGCAGGGAAGCCACACTCGACTGATCACTTAGGTAACTAGGGAGCTCCTTGGGAAATATGCTGAGAGGGTGTACATCCTGCACAAACTGACATCTAAGGTAATTTAAAACCTAGTAAATCTGGGGTCATGTTGATACACTCAATTTGCCATAATGCCATCCTACCCCATCGTCATACCCCCTCACTCTGCTCCACAACTCCAAGTGAGAAGGTTTCCCCTGATGCAGAAAAAAGAACAACTGATGTCTGTAATCAGGAATAAAAGGGGGGAACTCACACTCCCTATAGGACTATGGACCAATGGCTATTGTCTGGCCCCAGGACACTATCCCAGATCTGGAGGGAAAGGAGGTGGTCAGGCCTCTGTAAGGTACTTACTGCCTCTTGGGTTGCCACTCTCTGCTCTCTAAATTCAGCCCACAATGACAGGGAATGGCAATCATTCTCTGAGGAGAAATGTATAAGGCCAAGGCCATGACTGAACAGCAGGGACACTGATTTTTCTGGACGGGCAGGTGGAGGAGAGATCAGGGGAGTTCAGGGGAAGCAGCTCTGCTCAGGAATCAGCTTGGCAGGTGGTATGGAAAATGAATTGTGAATCAATAAGAACGAATGTGGGGGATGATCAGGATTATACACACACAGAAGGAAACAGCATTAAAGAACATCTACTATATGCCCAGAACTTTCATAGTTTCATAGCCACTTAATCTTCACAATGAAATTCTAATAGACAGAAGAGCACAAGTGCTCCAAATGCCTTTAGCCATCCCCCTAGGCCTTCCCACAGGATAGTTCCTGTGAAGATCTGTGAACAGGATTAGTGGGGAAGAGGGGGTTAAAAGCAAGAGGACTCTGGAGAGAATTCACCAAAGGAGAAAACAGAAAGTCTGGCTCTTTGTAATGGAAAAACCAGTTCTTTCTCGGCTAGGAAGGCCTCACTGGCCAGCCTCCTGCCACTGCAAGGTGGAAGTAGGTAGCTGGCAGGGGTGAGGGGCACAGGGAATTAGGGAGCCAGTGTGGGTGAGGTACAGGCAGTTCTCCAGTTTCCCTTCTCCCCAGCTGGATGGTTCTGACTAAGAGGTCAGCACCCTGTGTAGAACTGACCTGTGCTCTCAGAGACGCAACTCTGAACTGGGAGAAATGATATCGATCAAAAAAGAGCAGGGTCAGACTTTGGGATAAGGGCCTACTCATCCTGTTCAGGACTTAGTCAGGAAGAAAGCCCCCCATGACTGTGTTCTAGTCCTGTGCCAGGGCACAGCTGGGTAAGGGAGGCCTCCCTGCCTGCTCCCAAGCCTATCGGGGCTCACCAATGGTTAGGGGAATATTCTGGGAAAGAACTGTTGAGAGAGATCAGATTTTGTGAATGAAGAAAGCTGCCTTTCAGATGGTCCTTTAGAAGAGTCTAGGAGACCCAAAGCCACTGTGTCCTCCCATCTTCTGTAAGTACCCAGACTGGAAGCTGTGAGCTGGGCTTAGCCATAGGCCTGTACAACCAGGGTGGAGTGAATGGGCAGGAAGGAGGCCAAGAGACTAAAACCAAGAATCAGAGTGAGTCCACACATGGACTGAAGGGGAAACTCTAAGCCAAGTTTCCACTAAACAATCAAAGGAGGGAATAGGGACTGGAGCTCAGGCCAGAGGAGGCAGCCAGGCTGCTGCCTTATTAAGCATAGGGCCGCCCTCCCTTCCTGAGCACTAAGGGACTGGGAGAGCCTACCAGGACCAGGTCTAGTCTCCAATTTCCCTCAGAACTCCTTGGCAAAAGTCACTAACCATATCTAACCCCCATGGCCTGTTCTCAGGAAACCCAAGGTCAATTCCTCTTCCTCTGGGTGCTGGAAATGGTTTGACCTTAAATCAAACCTACTACTACCAATAAGTCTCCTCCTGTCACCTGAAGTTACCCATCTAACCTCAGGGTCTGCTCTGAGCTCCAAGTTGGTTATCTGCCCACTTTTAACTTATACTCCATAAGAGCAGGGTCTTAGTTATGTATTCTCTTGATTTCAATAGACACACACACACACACACACACACACACACACACACACACACACACACACACAGCCTGCTGGACCAGGGACATAGTCCCAGAGGTAGAAATGGGTTTCTTTCCAGGTGGCATGCCTTTGCTTCAGCAGTGGTTGTACTAGCATGGATCCAGCCTTGGGCTCCTCTCCCTGCCTTCGCAGCCATCCATAAAGCCAGTCCGGAAAGGAAGGGTTAAGTGCCGAGGGGCCCCGCCCAGACAGCGGCTGCTGGGCTGCTGCGGAACAGGGCAGCCTCCAGTCCGTGGCACGGAGGCTCCTCCAGCACGAGCCTGCCAGCCGCCGCCTTTGTTGATGGACTCTGCCACATGCTCGGCTGACACGCAATGCTCCGCCCTGGCGGGGCCGGTGCCAGGCTGCCGGCCAAGCACCCAGCCAAGCGCCTGGCCGGCCGCCGGTCTGGAGAGACTCTCTGAAGTACACTCTCCAGAGTCCCAACCCCGTTTCCCAGACAGAGACAGTGAGGAGTGGCCTCCCCAGCTGAAAAGTGTCAGGTTTCAACTGGTTCCACCACTTTCCCCCACTCAGGCCCCATCCCTTGGCCTGGTTACCCGTTTCCCACTGGATCTCAGCCAGGCACCCCCCAACAGCCCAGACTCCCTGCAGCACCCTGAAAATCTTCCCCTTAGGTCTTTGGGGGACAATCCCCCAATCCTGACCTTGACAAAAGACAAACTGTCAAGCAAGCCTGCAGAAAGCCACCCCATTCCCAGGGAGGGTTCATAGCATCTCCCGACACTCCACTCTTGTGGAGCGTGAGCTAACAGTGGGCAGATAACCAACTTGGAGCTCAGAGATGAGGGCAAGAGTGCTCATCCAGTTGGGCCCATCCAGTCCATGGGAATCACAATAGCCAAGGCCAAAACTCTGGGACCATATCCCTGAGGCCTGGCAGAGAGAATTGCTGACAAGAGGACAGAGGCAGCCCCGGGCCCCTCAGGCCTGGCAGACTCAACCCCTCCTCCCCCAAGCCCCCATGCCTACTTGCTGCATATGAAGCCGGTGGAACTGGTCTGCAATGCACTGAAGTTTTCGGGCAATCTGTACCTCTGCTCGATGTTGCCACTGCCCTTCACGGGGCTGCGCCCCGAGGGGCAAGCCTGCAGGAAAACTGGCAGCGAGAGGAAGCCGGTAGCCAGCACTGCCTGCAAAGACAGAGGACCCACATCTCAGCATTCTCCACAACTGCCCCATCCTCCCCGTGCCTGCCACTCCTGGCCCAGACTTGGGCTGAGGGTAAACCCTAGTATGGGAAGGGAGAGGAATCAGCATGCCTTTATCAGGGCACTCTGCCAGGCTTGGACAGCCTCCTTGCCTGATGCCCAAGTATATAAAAGTTGATGCTGGGAGGACAGAAGGTAATGGCCCCAGCCTTGCCTTCAGTTCTCCATTCACCGTCAGTGCCATGGCAAAGGGCAGGGTGGTAGTGTGTAGGGGGGAACATGCCAACCTTCCATCCTTATTTATCAAGCTACACTTGACCATAATCTATTATTCATGTAGTAGCAGGTTGAAGCTCTTCTCTGGAAAAGCACTGGAGGCAGCTCTCCACAGGTCCTGGGATGAGCAAAGCAAGGAACACATTAAGAGAAAACCAAAAAGTGTCTTCACTTTTATTGTGCAGTAGAGGAAGTCTGGTCTCAGCTCCTGAAGCTCTGGGCAGCAGCACAAAAATTAGGGAGGGAAAACTCCTGGGACCCACAGAACATACTCTCTGGAGGCAGCCCAGGCAAGACCGCTAGACCCGAGCTCCACACTTACCGAGTGCTGGCATTAGAGCTGCCGCTAGGGGCGCCAGCCTGCCCGTCTCCTCCGTCCTTTTCCTTTTCCCTGCCTGCGGGCCTTATCCAACTTCTCAGGCTCCTGCCAGAATTGCTCTGCCAGAACTGCCCTATGGGCAGTTCCCTCTGGGAATAACTGAGACAGCTCCTCAATCTGCTCCATCAGACACAGCAGGATCGCCTCCAAACCTTTACCCTCCCTCCATAAGCTACTGTGCTACAAGGAGAAAACAGACTGTGAGCCTGCCCTTTTACCAAAGGAGGGCATGTTTCTCATAAAAGAAGCCATTGAAGCCCACAAATGAAGGGGTCTTGTTTGATATAGCCTTGGAAAGAGCCCCTCTGCTGCCATCAAGCCCAGGCAGGCCCATCTTCTTTCTCCAGTTCCCCTTCAAGCACAGAAAGTCCCATGTGACAATTTGAGGACCACCTTCTGCCTTCAGGAAACTTCCCTCCCAGAACCAGCTGGGTTTTTTCCCTTCAGTGTCAACAGTGAGTCACAGATCCCCCAACCTTTTCTAGGGCAACACAAGCCACTTTATGGAAGGCAAATTACTACCAGGACACAAAAGGCTGGGCCACTCAAGGGGCACAGGTTGTAAAAGGAGATACCATAAACCCGAGGGTCCTTCCAGGAAAGAACAAAAGAGTAGAAAGAAACGCAAAACAATTTACCCTTTTGGGGGCCTGAGGAGACCAGATGAGGAGTAATAATAGGCAGAAAGGCAGAAGGTTGAAAGTGGAGGAATTAATAGCCCCTGCTGCTCAATTTGGGGAAGGAAATAGCAAAGGGCAGGTTTGGGGAGGGAAAGTACCCTCTTTTCCCCCAATTTCTATAGTAAGAGTCCTGAGGCTAAGAGCACTCACCATAAAAGAGTCGCTGGGGTTCCTCGGTCACCCCACAAGGCAGCATGACACCCTGGCTCGGGGAAGCTGGGCTGAGGGTCTGGGTAGCTTTGTCTTCCTGGCTGGTGGGTCGAATCCCAGGGCCACAGCAGTGAGTGAGAGGGAAGAGCTGAAGCCGGCTAAGGGGGCAGTCCAGCTGACTCTGGGCAAGCAGGTCAGCAGAGAGCAAGCTCCCAGTCTGCGTCCCTGGCTCCCCATCCTCTGGTTGGAACACATCGTCCTCCAGCTCCTCCACACAATGAGGTGGCTCCATCTCCCCTGTGAGGGAGCAACACAGGCATCTGGGATGCTGCCCCACCCAAGGCATACCTGGAAGGACTTCCCTCTCCTGTCTTCCTGCTCCCCCTTCTTATGTGAGGGAGCTGGGCCAGATACTGATGACATACGACCCTGGTAAAAAATGCACTGCCAAAGGTGACACCCCCCCCCCAAATGTGGACTGCCTCAATGTTTAGGGACTCTCCACACCTCTTCCCTGGGCCCACCCAGAGCCAGCCGCCCTGGAACTCTTCTTTTGACCTAAACTGGTCACGATGTTTGACTCTGAGGGTTGTGAGGAATAGCGGGGGTAGGATCAGCTGCTACAAGCATGCAGGGTACCTGGGAAAATATAAACAAGACTAGCCTCTAGAAGTGGCTGTGGGAGGGCGAAAGAGGTCTGTACACAGTGCTTATAACAAACAAATCACCACTCTAAGGAGTAACCTCCAAGCTCTCATCTCAGTCTGAGATGAGCTCCAGACTCAGCAATAAAAATAAAAGCCAGCAATCCTAGGGCAGCCAGGTTCCCTCCAAACTGGCTAAGCCCCGCCCTCCTGCCCATGTACTCTAGTCTCCACCCCCTGCTTGCACAACACAACAGGCTATGCAGTGTGGTAAGACAGTGTCCTGGGATAGGGGACAAAGACCCAAGTTAGTCATTGCAGCTGCTCATTCAGCAGCTCTCCTTGAGCAGAGTAAAGCTGTCTGCCCCCACAGACTGGTTCAGAGGGTAGGTCCAGCCACTGGCAAAGTGTCCAGCCTTCCCCAGCACAGTCTACTCAGTAGTCTCCACAACTTGTCCCTACAGCCAGTATACCATTCCTGCCAGCGCTGAACCTGAGATTGGTGCAGGCTGCTTCACAGAAGGAAGTGAAATTCAGCCATCTCTCTGTGACCTCACTCACTGCCTGTACTATTCAGGTTGTTATGAGTTTATCAGTGATAAAGAAGTTCCTCTTCCTCCACCTGATGGCTCTTGGAAGTTTGAGCTTGGAGGCACCCAGCATTGTGAGCTTCCAACTCTGCCCCCTACACACACACTAGGAAGCCCTTAAAGCCCAGAGAGCATCCAGAAGCATGAATGGTTAAGGATACAGAGAGACAAAGTTCGTTCTTGTCAGATTCAATTAGAGATTCCCAGGAGTTGTCCCCGAGTCTCTTGCCTTTGAAGGACAAGCCAAATGGTGTGTGGGTTGGTGAAGTACTTGAAAGGAATCTCAATTAAATTCAGAAATCCTGCCTTTCCCAGTTGCAAGCTCTGAGGTCCTGGCTTCATCCCTCTAATCATCCCATCCAGTCCCTGAGCTACCTATGGTCCTGCCTCTGTCCTATTCCCCGAGACTGAGGAAATGCCTGATAGGATGGCAAAGCAGACACATGGTGTTCTTTAATAGTGTTTCCCAAAGCAAGGGGGGAGGGGGCTCCAACTTATCAGCAACAGGAAACAAAGTTTCCTGATGAAAAGACCAAGTGCTGTTTTGCCAGTCACCTGGCAGGGGCTCCCATTCTGCTCTTCAACCTCCTCTCTGAAGGCTGGCAATCCCAACTTAACAAGGGGCTCTCCAAAGCCAATCACAAGCAGGAGTCATTGTCTTGGTTTTTCCTTTTAAGCCCATCACCTCCCCCTTCCCCCAAAAGCCCCAAAGTTCAACTCTTGCCTGGACTGGACGGTGGGGGAAGTGCAGCCAGAGGGTGTGGCTCTGCAAGGCCCGAGGACCCCTCCCGCCCTCCACAGGAACTGCAGGTGGCTCTCTGGTCAGTGGGAGCCTCCAGAGGGGTGCTGAACAAGGTCAAGTGTAAACTGGGAAAGGGCGAAGAGACCTTTTCCTCCCTTTTCCCCTAAACTGAAGTGGTGATGTCCAGACTGGTTGGAGAAGTCACTTCCTGAGAACACTGCCAGGGAATGCTTTATTCCTAGCAAGGGGAACTAAAGCCTGCTGGAGCCATGCCAGACCCTAAGGGATCCTTCAAACAGGGATGCTGAACTTAGACTCCTCTTCCTCTTAGGAGAAGGCAGTAGCCAGACACCCTGACCTTCGACAGCGGCTAAAACCTAGGAACACACACACACACACACACACACACCCCACAGCCCCCCCACACACAACCCACACGCCCCCCCAGACCTGGGTGACTCCAGGAGAGAGTCTCGGCCTCCGAGTCGTGATGCCAGGGCTCCGCGCCAGGGTCCAGCGTGACGAGCACTCGGGGGCTTGGCGCCCAGACTCGTTTGGGAAGGAGGAAAAAAGCCCAGCTGTTAAGGAGAGGAGCCCTCAGACTCCGCAGGGAGGCAGGACGCCCCACAACTCCCTACCGTAACCCAAAGTCAGACCCAGAGGCAGGGCTGTTCTCGGGTGCCCAGGTCTGCTCAGCAGTGCACCCCAGGCTCCACTTCCCACCTGGACCCAACTCTCTGGAGTCTCAAATGCTTCCCTCAAGTTCCCTCTTGGAGCAGCGCACCCAGATGTGGGTTCTGCACCCCGTTCGCGCATCCCAGCACCCCAGTTCTTCATGGTCACTTCAGACTCACGCAGCCCAAACCCTTCCCGGGCCCCCACGCGCAGCGCGACTCCACTCCCCACTTCCCCGAGGAGATGCGATCCAATGCCGCCCTGCCCCCGGCCGCTGCCCGGGCGCTCACCGGGCTACAGCGGGAGGCGCGGGCAGGGGCGGTGGCAGCAGCTGGCGGTGACCCGCGCGTGAGGAGGCCACTCCGCACCTCGCGGTATTGTTTCCAAAATACGCCCGCTCGGGGCATCCCGCAAACAGCTGATAAGTCCCCGCCTCCCGGCGCGTCACGCCTACCACTGGCCAATGGTGAGTGGAGCCCCAAGTCGCGGGCTGGGCGACTGCCAGGGACGGTCACGAATGTACGAACCCTCCCTTGGAAACATTGCAAGGGGCCGAGCAAAATTCCGAACCCCGCCAGAAGCGCAATAGGAGCGCCGTCGCCCGCGCGGATTGCGTTCTTAACACAGGCTCCGGAAGTGCCAGACGGTTCCTGAGTTCTCTATTAAGTGAGGGCGGTGGGGGAGCCAAAGTGACTTTTGTCTTCTCTTTCTCTGGAATGGGCTGAATAATTGCGGTGCATCCAGGAAGGGAGGGGAAGAGGGGAAGGGGAGCTATCAGACGCGGCCGGCGGCAGCGGCGGCGGCCGGCGGGTGCAAGGTGAGGGTGCCAGTGGACCCCGGCCTGGTGGCAAAGTGCCCTCCCGCCTGCCGGGCTGGTCAGAAGAAAACTCCAGCCCTAAAGCTGTAGGAAGCATGAGGACGCGTGTGTCTGACGCTGTTAGTGAGTGACATTCGGATAAAACCCATCCCAAGGAGCCCTCATGTCCTTTTCTTGACTGGGTGTAGACACTGGCAAAGTAAGCATCTGGCTGAGGAAAAGAGAGATCAACAATGCAGGGGCTGCTTAGGCAGCTGACACACATCCCGTTCATGGCAGCATCTAGAGACCGTCCTGGTGCTGCCAGGAGGGCAACATGTCTCCAGATCATGCACAATCGGCAAGGAAGTCTATGGGCTACTTCATAAACATTTACTGAGCATCTGCTTTGTGCCAGGTACTAAGCTAAGTGTGAAAACCCTGGTGCCTGCCCTCAGGGAGCTTACAATCTACTGGGAGAGGTAGACCCGAAAATAATGGAAGGCAGCATCAATTATGTTCATTCCAGGGATAATGACTAATGAGGGAGTCAGGAAAATTCAAAATGCAAAGAATGGGAGAGGTTTCATGGCTTTGAGTTGGGCCTTGAAGAATGGGAACATTTTTCAGTAAGAAAAACCAGATAAAACATCCCAGGCCTAGGGGCGACAGAATAAAGTGCTGAACTGGACATCCTGTCCAGGGAGCACGGGCAGGCTGGATGACTAGATCACTAGGGACACACTAGGATTTACGAAGGGTGTTAGGAATGGGCAGATAGACTCAGGTCAGATTACAAAGGTGTCCCTGGAATGCCAGCTGAGGGATCTGTATTTTATAAAAAGGAGGCAGTAAAGATTTATGGAAGATGAGTGACTTGACCAAGACTGAGTCTTAGGAAAGATAAATGAAGAGTTCAGTAATCTGTGAGAGGGAGCCAGTCCCTGCAACAGCCTAGGTGAGCAATGATAGGGGCCTGACACACCAGGGACAGTGTGCTGGGCAGTACTCCCTCTGGGTTGTAAACTGAGAAAGATTTGAGTTAAATGGAGCTAGGACCCTCAGCCCAAGGGAGCCTGAAGTCTTGTATTTTTTTTCCTTTCCATTCTTTCCCTAGCTCCCTCAGACTGCACCTGAAAAAAGAGTGAACCGGGCATACTGAGAGTTGCAGTTGCTGGAGTAGGAAAATACTGTCCCCAAAGGACAGAGAAGAGAGAAAAGGGAAAGAGGGGAGAGTCAAGGTTGGCCAGCAGCCCAGTTCCCTGAGGAGTTGATAGATGTCCAGCAAGAGGTGCTGGATCCAAAAGGAGGTATGTTATTTTACTGGAAGGCTTAGCCAAGACAGAGTGTCGGAGCTGGTCAGGGTGACCTCACACTCATGCCACAGGTGGGGAGATGAGGAGACTGAGCCCAGTTTCCATGAAGGGAATGGGAGCCCTCCTCTGCCATGCGCAGACCTCTTTTCCCTCCTTGCTTCCATCCTTCTCGTACTGGCTTTCCTCCTGGGCCAGTGGTGCCCATGGGCATGCCATAGGCATGCCTAAAGGATAAAGCAGCTCTGAATCTGCCCGCTGGGATAGCTCAGACCCTGGGGGTGGAGATCATCCTAGATCTCCAGACCCACCTGAGATTCTAAAGCTCTGTCTGCTTCATCACAGCCCTGAATGGTGGAATTGGGCCCACAAGGCAAGGAGCTGGGAGAGCAGGTGTTTCCCTGGGATCTGTGTACTCACCAGGCTCCCAAGCTTTATGCTCTATGAATCCCTGAAACTGGCTAAACTGTGTTTGTGGGTGCACACGACATTTTTGTGAGTGGAGTGGCTCCATAGCTTACAACAGTTTCCCAAATGGAACTGTGGCTCTATAAGAGGTTAAAAATCACCTTTGTAGGGCCGGCCCGTGGCTCACTCGGTAGAGTGCAGTGCTGATAACACCAAGGCTACGGGTTCGGATCCTATATAGGGATGGCCGGTTTGCTCACTGGGTGAGCATGGTGCTGACAACACCAAGCCAAGGGTTGAGATCCCCTTACCGGGTCATCTTTAAAAAAAAAAAAAAAAATCCCCTTTGTAGGGCCGGCCCGTGGCTCACTCGGTAGAGTGCAGTGCTGATAACACCAAGGCTACGGGTTCGGATCCTATATAGGGATGGCCGGTTTGCTCACTGGGTGAGCATGGTGCTGACAACACCAAGCCAAGGGTTGAGATCCCCTTACCGGGTCATCTTTAAAAAAAAAAAAAAAAAAATCACCTTTGTAGGGGAATGGAGCTGAGGAGCAGGAAGGGGTCTGGGCAGTTTGCAAGATGGGAGTAAGGCCATACCTATTTGTGCCCTCTCTTTTAAGACCACTCCCCCGCACCTTCCCAGCCTGCCCCCTCAGGCTGCTTATGAAGGACACCTGTGGCTTGGCCTCTGGTGCTCTCAGCCTCTAAGGTCAAGCAACAGGGGGCCCAGCCTTCTGAGCTGGAGGGAGCAGAGAAGAACTGTCAGGGATAAAGGGGTCAGGGAGGTCAGGAGCTTCACTCCCACCTCTCATCATTGTCAAAGCAGACCCCTCCCTCTGTGCCCTTTCCCCCCTTCCAGCACAGCTTCGACTCAGCTGTGTCAGGACCTGCTTTGCTGGAGGTCTGGGCTCTGAGTCTGTTGACCACCAGCAGCACCCTGGGAACAGATGAACGTTGGGCTTTTGGCTGTGCTCAGAGCAAATGCACATTGCAGCCACAGCACCCTCTATTTTGGAGAATTTTCTCTCTCTCCCTCTCTTTTCCCACCCCTCCCCCCAATTTGTTTTCTCCCCTGCTGACTGATACTGGCTCTGGAAGGAGATCCCCAGATAAAGGCAAAGTTGCTCCAAAAGGCATCCACATGGAGGCTGACAGGGAGGCAGGCCTTCCCAACAATCTGGGAGGGATGCAAAGAGTTAAGGGGAAGCTGCTCTCAACAGAAGAGAAAACCCAGCTCCCTGCAGATAGAAGGCAGGAGCCCTCTCCATTGTTTCACCTGGCTATAGAATTTCTCTCTGACACAAGGAATGGGCTCTAGAACTCCAGTAACTGGATCACTGGGAAGGGAGGTTTTTAGAAAACCAGCTGACAGCTGAATAATAGGAATTACCAGGCAGGCAGCCCTGGGGTTACTGAGGTTTGCAACTCAACCCCCAGGGAGGGGTTAGATTGAAAACTGATTTATGGGTGGGGGTCTTTGTGGGGGAGCCCATCGTGCTTGACTCCCTTAGCTATTAACTCCCTCCGGGAGGATTCATGTATGTAAGAAACACCAGGGATCCGGAAGACCGGGGTGTTCTTCCCTCGCTGGACTTGCCCTAATGGAATGAGTTTTTATCTGTCTAAGCATCATTCCATCTGTCTGCAAAGGATAATTCCTCTCTACTGAGTTGCACAGTTTGTGTGTGTGTGTGTGTGTGTGTGTGTGTGTGTACACGTGGGAGAGACAGAGACAGAAAGAGTAGTCTAGAACAAACAGAATGGTTTCTGCTAAATGAGCAAGTGAGGAGACTTTATTTCCCAGTCAATGAGCTCACTGCTTGCCAATCACTGATTCAGTGGGGTTCAAGTAGATAAAGCAGGTACTGTACTAAAGATAAAGCATCTGGAATTCAGAGACCTGGATATAAAGGGAAATGCAGAAGCTAAGGACTAAGGCTACCATGCTAAAGCCCAAGAGAACCTAAAAGATAAGGTGTGAAGTCCAGGATCCTGTGAATTATGACATTCAGCATATGTTCAGCTTTATTTTGAGGACTGCTTAGTAAATATTTGCTGAATGAGTGAATGAATGTACATTTCCACGTTTAAAAACTACAAATAGCTCTGTATTAGGAAGTGGGAAAGAAAGCTGCAGTGTGAGATTTCCAGTAAATGTCCTTCCTACATTGTGTTTGCCACTTGGGATGCCTGGTCTTCCCTTAGTTTCTTCTCACCAGCCGAAAGGACCCTCCCAGAAGGCAAGGGTCATGCCATCTACTCCTTGGTACCCTCAGACCACTCTCCACCAGGCTTGGAATATGGAGACATTTGCCGAACCTGTGGAGACAAATTTACAGAAAAACTATGAGCCCCGCCCTCAAGGCAGTGTCCTCA